ATTAAAAATTACACAAAAAATGAGAAATTTTAAATAGTTAATTTGATATTAATATCGATATATTTTTGTTAAAATTTTATGATATCTTCAAATTTATATTTTATTCAAAAATAAAAACATTTTCGCATTTTCAAAATCACGTAAGACCATATTATAACATCGACTGAAATAAAAAATAAAACAAAATATTAAAATCAATATGTATTTCGCTGCATTGTGTGTGTATCCTTCTAGTTATAAAATAAGGGTATAACTTTAAAGCGAGGAATAAAACTTTATATTCTTTAAAATAAAATAAATTCAACTTCAATAGATTTTTTATTTTAAAGTTTTAACTTAAATAGATTTTTTATTTTGAAAATTACAACATTGATTATATTGTTCTCAACCATTAAATTTGTAAATAATGTATTTAGCACGCAATCAAACACTTGAAAAAAATTATAATATTGCCTTACAATAAATAAATCTGATGAACTTCTTCGGTAGGATATAAAGGATTAAACATCTGAACATCAAGCTTAAGGTTTTGGATGTTGAACATTCATCAGATCCTTAACTTATATAAATTGTGAAGATCAAATGTTTTGTCTTGAATATTCTCGATCAGATGAGGAGAATCAAATTGACATACGTCTTGGTCATTTAATCTTGAGTTTCAAGAAACCACAATTTATTTCAAGTATTTTTAATCCTTGTATTTTATAATATAACAAGATAAGATTTTTACCTGTAAAAGTCTTGTAACTATTTGCATTGATCTAATAACGAAATGTCTTCAACAGAATCGAATACTAGTTGAAGTGAGGTCAAGATCGTCACCTAGTAGATTGATTTGTCATCTAGACAAAAGGAATAACAATACAAGCTAAAACAAATAGTAATTGAAACACACATACACACACACATATCTATAATACTAATAAATAAGTAAATTTGAGGACACGTGTCATTTTTTCTGTGCGACGGTTATTGATTTTTCCCGCCTAAACATGTATTTAGACACAATTTTTACTTACGGCCCCCAGACTTACAACATAACTCTGGAAAAATTCACGTCTGAATTTAACTCTAGATTGATCATCAAAACCGGATTTAAAATTTCAAATTCGGATTTTTGAAGCATTTTTCACAAAACAATATTACCTGGGAAAAAATTTAGAAGAACATGTACTCTTAGTACTTAATTAATTAATAATAATGTGAATTTAATTAATTTATATAGTTATTAAACCTAATAAATAAGTAACTTTGAAGACACGTGTATTTAATTAATTAATTAATTAATAATAATGTGAATTTAATTAATTTATATAATTATTAATAGAATATTAATACCTAATTAATTAATAATAATATAAAGTTAATTAATTTATAACATCCACATCTATATCTATAAATACTAATAAATAAGTAATTTTTGGGACACGTGTCATCTTCGTGTGCGACGGTTATTGATTTTTCCCGCCTAATAAATAAGTAACTTTTGTGAAGCATTTTTCACAAATTAATATTACCCGCAGCCTCTGATTCCCTTTGCTTGTCTCATACAAAGGTATACAAAGGCTCTGCATGTACTACGCAGCGCTACATATTGGATCTACATTGTTCGTCTTCATTTAGAAGTTTTTTTTATCATCGAAGCACATGCCGTTCTTTGTATATGTAACATTTAATTCTCGAGTAAGAGCATCTTTATTACAAAAATTTAATCAGACTTGTACCTTTGTCTAAGTTTATAAATTACCTCCGATTATTAATTCTTTATAAAATACATATCAGTTTCGCTTAATTTTTGTCATTAACCCGTGTAATACACAGGTCCGAACCTATTATATATATATATATATATATATATATTAATTGAAACGAGTTAAGATAATAACTTAATAAGATCCCTTAACTATATAAATATTTATATGTGATTCCAGTCTTCCAGAGTTGTTAAGAGGAATTCTTTTTGTTTGGGTTTTTAATGGTGTGGTTTTTTATTAATAAATATTGTATACACTTGTACTGAATGCATCTAAAAGTTGTACATAGAAACATTTTAAAAATAATAAGCAAAATGATGAAAATGTCCGTTGATTTAAGACAAGGGGTCTAATCCATAATAAAAATAAAACCCTGAGGTCCTTACTCATAAATTTTAGGGTTTAAGAACCTTTTTTGTAACAACATGAAACTAAAAGGACTAAATTTGTAATATGTTTTTTCTTACATATAAAAGATGGACTTTATCCTCTCTTTCATTGTTCTGTTGGCTAAGGTTTTGGCGTGCAAGATACATATTATTTTTCCTTCTTTTTTTTTATGTGTTACAAGATCTTGTGAAAGAAACACCCTTGTTATTACAGGTAAGGTAATTAACTAAGCATCCGCTTCTTCGTTTGCATATGGATTTTTGATTCCATACCTTAATTTTGTAGCCATGCCTTTTGGGTTTGTTTGTATTGCGTTTAAGGCCAAATTGTATTAAAAGGAAAAACATATATTTTCTTTTTAATATTAAAAGTCTGAATTACCGATTTATTATAATATTATTGTGTCAATAAATTAACGTCATATATTAGATATTAAATTTAATATTATATACAAATCTCTCGTGCCCCCCGTCTCCCCCTCCCGTAACTCCGGCAAAAATACCGCCTCCCCTTCCCCTCTCCGGTGATATCCCTCTTCCCCTTTCTCTTGCGAAATCCTCCATCTATTTTCTCCGGCGACACGCCCTTCCTATTTCTCTCGTGTCTCAGGTCATGGAACCCGATCATCATCCGACCAAGTGGGGGTTTCGTCCCTATAACGACGAAGATCCAGCGATGAAGTCTCTGAACCCAATTCAAAAACCTAAGGTCTTGATCCAAATTCAAGTCTGGGCGTGGTGGTTCGATCTGATCTGATTTCGACCAGCGGTGGTGGTGGTTCGACCAACTCGAAGAGATTCATGTAATCTTCTTTTGATTCATTTTTATCATTTATGTTATGATTTTAGGGTTCTTTTGGTTCACTTGATTTTAGGTTCTGATTTTATGCTTCTTTTGATCTTAGGTTCTGATTTAGGGTTTTGTCGTTTGTATTTAGATTTAGATAAGTTCTTAGGTTTTAATGTTTGATTAAAGTATTAATCTAAAGTTTTGATTTTTTTTATGAATCTGATTTTTTGATAGGGAGGGGGAGACCCCTCCAGATCAAGAAAAAACACTAAAACGCTAAAAAACAACAATGAAGCATTCGGGTAGGAGGAAACCTCAACTACCAAAATCCAAGGCACCTGAGGGGAAAGAAAGAGGGAGACAAAGAAGAAGAAAGACGAGAAAAGAGGGAAAAGGAGAGAAAGAAGAAAGGGAGAAGAAGAGAAGAAAAGAGAGAGGAAGAGGGAGAGAGAGAAAGAAAAAAGACGCCGACCACAAGGGAAGGGCCCAGCCAAGCCAAGACCGGGAAGCAACGGGGAATCTGATTTCGCTTTTGGGTTTGAATGTTTACCTTCTTCCCCATTACCTTCATCAATCACCTCCTCAGCCCTGTACTCCTCTGTATTTTCTGGACCAATCAACATGTACGGCTTGTTGTATCTACACTTGTGACCAGCAACATATTTTTCATCACAAAGAAGCATTGATTATTCCTTCTTTTTTCTTCATATTCACTCCTTGACAGTTGCTTCGAAGGGGTGGTCTTATTTTGCGGGTTTTGGGGTGTTGAAACTTGAGATTCTACCAAGGGTTTATGAGACATTTGGCTCAGGAGTGGTTTACTGTAAGCGCTTCCTGTAGAATTGGTAGAATTTGGGGGCACAGAGGGTAGAAAATTAGGGGATGGAAGAGAAGTAGGAGCAGGGGAGTTGGCTTGTTTTATTGGTGAAATCTTGTCAATTGTTTCTTTGGCAAGGTCATTATTATAGCTGGTGGATTTTGGTGGCTCCAAACCCCACAGAGCATAGTAAGCCCCCTCCTGAATTCTTGCTAATTTCATAGCTTGATCAGAGTTTTTGGATCCAGTAGTTGAACTGTATGCATTATCTCATTTCGGAGGCCCCCAATGTATAAATCTAATAACACCTCAGAAGGAACAACTACTTGGTTCCTTAGAGCATTAAACTGTGAGTTATAATCACTTACAGTGGTGGCGAGATTTAGATTTCTAAGTTCTATGAAAGGCTTTGAGACAATACCTGCAACAAATTGTTCTCTCAGTTCATCCAGGTAACTTTTCCAACTAACAGATTTGCCTTCCATTTCCTTCATGAACCCTTGGTACCACTGCAAAGCTCTCCCCTTCAGATGTATTGCCACCAACCAGATCTTCATCTTTTCAGGAGTATTAGTCAGTTTCTTAAACTGATTGCATCTATAGTGCCAATCCTTGAAAGCATCTCCCTCAGATGATGGAAACTCCAATTTGGTCATTCTATTTACCAACTTACCCGTCCTTCCTGCTGACCTCCTTGAGTTCCTCCAGAATTTGGTCATTCTATTGAAATAGCTAATATTAGGTAAACTAGGTCATATCAGATGTTTGATGGTTGGTGGTGGTGGCTGATCTTGAGGAAGAAAAAGTTTAATAATAATAAACAAAAAAGGCATGTCATCTCCATACATATTCAAACAAATTGACACATCATAACTATAATAACCAGTCACGTGTTATCCAGTTAACCCAAATCCTTTTTGCTTTGTGTTAGACCCTTAATAAATTATTTGAAAGTATGTTCCCTTTTAACCCAATTTGACCATAACTATTGTGAACCATCAACTTGTCCATCCGACCTTGCTATGGTTCAAATTATGCTTTTAAGGCTTCTCTGGGCATTTGCAGAGGGGCCGGATAATGCATCTGAGAACTTAATACCCGTTGTTATATTGCGACTAGATCAAGACCACTTAACTTAAAGTTCTTGGTTTTCTTCAGACATTTCTGTCTACTTTTTCCCTTTTATATGTGAATGTGATCGTAATTCACTCTTCAAATTTGATTTTTCATTTCCTACTTTCTTCTTTTAATGATCACATTGTTGCTGCAACCAGAAAGCTATGAAGGTTGAGGAAGCCAAGTGTTCTTTAGGATATGGTAAACCTCCTTGGATTTTTAAAGGCAGGCAAGTGATATTCTATTACTCAAATACTCTTTTAGAGTTCCTTTTAACAATTTTGAATTGGTTTTTTGTTACATCATTCTCTCAAAGAGACGAACTATAAGCAATATCTTCTATTGTATTTCAGTGCTCTGTATCAGTTTCATCTTGTGAAAGCAGAAATTGCTAGGACTATCATTCCTAAAGAGTTCAGATTGGTTGAAGCTTTTGGGTATTTCTACAATGACATAGTCTCATTGCTATTTCAATGAAGATGCAAAAAAGCAGTGTCATGTCATGTTGTGATCAAATAATTCCCAGTGCATTTTGCTAATGGGTTTATATTTTAATATATACTCTACAGATACACTCTAGGAGGCGTCTTTCTTGCCAACTATAATGAGAGCCCAGTTGGAACCTTCGATGAGGTTGTTTTCTTCTTTTAACTAATAATCGCCCCCATCAATTGTTAAATGATTTCTCGACATAAAGTTATGAAACTATTTACACTATGGTTAAGCAGAAACACTTAATTAAAGATGATTGCATTGCTTAATTACAAATAGATGTTGTTTACTAAAGAAATGATTGTTGTATGTTGACAATGTTTTATTCAGCTTGTGGTTATTGCAGGAATTGTCTGGAACCCACCAACATCTCATGCGTAAGTCTTTGGCCTATGCTTGTATCTAGTGATAGCATAATACAAGTTGATTTCTTTCTTCATATCTTTCTTAATCAAGAGTTCATATGCTTATTGACTCTCCTATGCATCTGGTGTATTGTTAATTACTTTTAATTCATGTACGTACTTTTTCCACTCAAGATTACACCAATTAGGTCTTGTCTAAGACCAATTAAGATAAGGGAAAAATGCATTAAAACGCAACAAAGTATGGTATAGTTCTTATTTTTGTAATGAAGAATTTTATTTTGTAACAAAGTTTCAAAATTTTCTATTTTGTACCCATTATGACCGGTTGCTGATTTTGTAACATTTGATCACGTGGGTATGCCTATGCGTTTGTGGAAGGTTTATGAAAGGTTTACAGCGGACGATAACTGGACATCCACGTCAGCAAATGTTACAAGATCAATAGGTTATCGGTTAAAAAGAAGTAAAAATTTAAATAGGAAAATAAGAAATTTTATTACATTAAGTAGGAAAATTTGTAACTTCGATACATTGATTGAGAATTTTTCTTTGTTAGACTAAATAGGAACTAAGGGAAACTTCGCTGCATTTTGTCCTTAAGATAATGACATTCCAAGAACTACAAACTTTTTATCTTGAAGTAATT